GAGCGGTTCTATGGGTTGGCTTGGGGGAACCAGGCCACCTGGGCTGGGGAGGACAGGTCATGATGCCACCGAAGGCTGGCATTGCCCAGCCTTGGCCCGACCCAGCAGGGAACTAGGTGACTTCGGTATCACTCAGGTATGATGAACCACTGGAGGGAGCATGCTTAAGCCATCGTGTAATTGTTGCCAAAATCTTGGCTCCCTGTCCACCAATGCCGAATAGAAACACGGAGGCAAAGTCTGGAGGAAATAGAAAAGAGCGGCTTTATTCCTTTGGCCAGGCAAGAGGGAAACACAGCAGGCTAGCACCTCAAGAACTGGGCCCCCGCTCTCCTGGGGGATTACAGAGGGTCTTATAGGTGGAACTTTCAGTCCAGGGTAAGTGATAAGGATCAAAGTGGTGAAGGTTTTGCATTCTTCTTCTTCTTGCAATATTTTAAAACGGCCACAGCTGGCAAAAGGCAACCGGGTCTGGTGTCCCTGAAGTTATCAGCCCATGACCTTCTTTTAATGCTGCGAGAGAGTGTAGGGGCAGAAGAATGCCAGGTGCAGAGTATAATTCCTATGGAATCAGAGAGTAATTAGCTTTGTTTAGCTTTGTGAAGGACAAGTCTAGATACAAGTGTTTGTTAGTAGTAACAGCTAAAGAGTAACCAAGATGGCTTCACTCTTTCAGGCCTGTTTATGCTGTTTCCCCAGCCTGTTCATTGTTTGCTTATCAGAAAAGTCTCATTTCTATTTCTGCTGCAACATGATGACCACCCAGTGTATTTCACGATAGCTATTGGCAACAAGTAAGCAGCTCTGGCACCTGGGCACATGCCGACCTGCAAGTACATGATACTCCTTAACACTGACCATCACCACTCAAAGTCCCTCAGTTTGAGGAACCTGGGCCTGCCCCAGATGTACGATAATTCTGCCCAGACAGATCCAAACTATGGTCAGAGAAGGATCCCCAAACCGTCCAGAGTGGTACCCTGAGTTCTGGGAGGCGATGTAAGGGGATAGGGGAGAGCAGGCCCGGTTGTACGGTTTGACGTCAAGGGTCTCATCCCTGACTGTCCCTCTCCGCCCCGCCCCCAGGGTCTCCATTGCCGCGGCCCTGCCCCAGCACTTTGAGCCGAGGAGTAGCTCGGAGCTCCATGGCCCCCACCCTAGGCTGGCCGCCCCATCGGGCCTCTCCGGAGCCCTCAAAGAGCCGCGTGAGGAAGCGGGGACCCGCCCGGGGCAGTAGATCCCCGGCGGTGAAGAGGTAGAGCAGCGGGTTGACGCTGGAGCTGAAGAAGGCCAGAGCCGTGGTTCCGGCTCGCGCCGCCTGGCCCGCCCCGCCCAGCCTCGCCAAGGCTCCTTCGGGCGGAGCCAGCGCGGCGAGCGCCTGCAGCACGTTGACAGCGTGGTAGGGGGCCCAGAGCAAGCCAAAGGCCAGCACGATGGCGCCCACCAGCCGGCCCACCCGCGCCCCGTGCCGCCTGGCGCCCCAGCGGGTGCCCCGCAGCCGCGCCAGCGTCAGGCCGTAGCAGCCAAGCACCAGCCCGAAGGGCAGCACGAAGGCGGTCAGGGTCTCCAGGCTCAGGTGGGCGGCGGCGTGGGCGGGCGACGGGTGGCACAGCTGGCACACGCGGCCCGCCCAGAGGTGGCGGTAGACGGCGGCCGGGCTGGCGAGCACCAGGGCGGCCAGCCAGACGGCCAGCAGCAGGCGGCGGGCCAGGGCCGGGCTGCGCAGCCGGGGCGCCAGGAAGGGGCGAGTGACGGCGAGGCAGCGCTGCAGGCTGAGCAGGCCGGTGAGCAGCACGCTGGCGTACATGCTGAGCGCGCACACGTAGTACACGGCCTTGCAGCCCGCCTGGCCCAGCGGCCAGGCCTGCCGGGTCAGGAAGGTCATGAAGAGCGGCGTGAGCAGCAGCACCGAGCCGTCGGCCAGCGCCAGGTGCAGCACGAGCGTGGCCGCCAGCGGTCGCCCCCGTGCGGGCCGCCAGCCCGCCAAGCTCCACACCACGAAGCCGTTGCCAGGCAGCCCCAGCAGCGCCGCCAGCAGCAGGAAGGCCGTGCCTGTGACCCGCGAGGTCTTCCAGCTCAGCAGCGTCTCGTTCCCCGGGGAACCGTAGCAGACCGACATCCCTAGGCGCCTACGGGAGGCTGGAAAGAGCCATGGAGCGCTTTCAGGTGGGGCAAAAGCCCACGTTACGCCTGATGCCGGTGAGAAGGGACTGTGCCTCCCTCACTCCTCTGCAGCCTGCCTCTCTTCTGTCTGGGAGCTTCTGTCTCTTCCTCCAGGACCCCAGCCCCAGCTCAAACACTGCGTCCTGGAACCCAAATCCCCTGCTCTGGGTCAGCCGACCTCCCCAGTCCTGACTCCCAGGCTATCACTGCCTCCACCTTCCACCCTCCTAACCTGGCCTGTCCTTCGTCCAGCCCCGTTGCCTATACCTCAGGGCAAAAGTGAGTGGAAGGAAGTATGGTCTCGTGGGCAGATCTACTTACCCAGCTGGGAGCGAGCAGGGTTGGGGGCCCTCCAGGGGCCTGGGGAAGCCCAAAGGCAAAGGGGCAGTGGGCCAGGTGCCTAATCCTGTCCTGTGCCTGTCAGGTTGGCAGAGGGTGAGGCGAAAACAGGGAGGGACAAGGTGGGGCTCCTCTCGGGCCTTTCCTGGGGCCCCTCCCTCACCCTGCCGCTTCACATCACTAACACGTCCAGGCGTGTGAGAGACCGCCTCCCCAGGAAACAGGATAAGCTGAAGGGGTGCAGATAAGGTTCTCTGGTCGTGTGGGTGAGTAGGGACACTGCCAGATCCTGCCCCTGGGTCCTGCTTCTGCGCTCATCCCTCCCCACCCCCACCCTGCCCCCCACCCTCTGGTCCCAATCTTCCCACCCTGCAGCTCTTATGCTGTCTGGCCGCTCTTGCCTGCACTCAGCAGAGAAGGCGACCCAACTCTTCATTCCCCCAGCTGCTCTACCTTTGCCTGTTTTCAGACGCCTGACCCTGCTGAGCCCCCTTTTTCCTCAGCTTCCTACCTACCCCTCTCACCTCCTGCCTTGGACCCTGCCCCAGTCATTCCGCCCTCACAGCTCTCAGTGAGCTGTCAATGGCAGCTTTCAGTGTAAAGCATAGGTTAAGTTCCAGGCGGAATTGGAGATGCATGGAGGTGTGAGGGGCTTATAGCCTGGTTGAGGAGTCCTAACTGACAACCACGAAGAGGCCACAATGCCAGGCTGCACCAGGATACAACGCAAGGAAAAAGGAAAGGGCGTAGTGTAGAGACTTATTTCTCTAGGTCGTGAGGTTGGGCAAAGCTTGGAAAGGAAGAAATTTGGTAGATTGATGAAATTTAGGGAAAGGGAAAAAAGGCTTCAGCCAGAAGGGGGTTCCTTGGGAGCCAGGACACCAGTCTTGTCTCAGTTTGGGTTCCCTCCAGAGCAGAGCCTGAGTCGAGGACATGGGCAATCTGGTATTTGGGGGGTCAGGTCGGGAAGCAGGAGTGAGAAAGCAGGGGAAGAGAGGGAAGAGGAAAGTCAGTAAGAGTGTATTATTGAATTCCAATATTCAGTGGGCATCAGGAACCTGAGTGCACAAAATAACTTCCAGAAAGACAGAAGATGGGCGTTTATGGCCAGCTCACATTCCCCATTGTTTGAGGGTTGTCCTAGAGGCATTAATGCCCTTATACACACTTGCAGCCTGTACTTGTCAGGGGACTGAGTGGGCTGCTACAGCTTCAGATAAGACTCCTGGGCAAGAAATCGAGGAGACTTATGGTCATGTGAGGGATTCACTGACAGTGAGAGTCTGAGCTTCCTCACAACTGTTCATCACAACTGCAGCTGAAATCAGGGATGGGACACGGGGCACCGGATGCTAAAGTCCTGATGCCATCAAAGGACCCATCCCCTCTTCCGCCTTCCACATCTCCTTCGTGCCTATAAAGTGGCCAGTGGAGAAAGGTGAGAGAATGACTAACCCAGTGCAGCTGAAGCAGGCATTTCTTCTGAAGAGAAGAGTTGAGCCAGCCCCTCCCCTAGCCCACAGAGGGAAGAGCATGAAAGCAGGAAGGCCAGGGTCCCAGACAGGATCCTGGTGATTCTGGATCCATGGATCAGGACCCATCCTCCCCTCGCAACCCACCCAGGCACACTGCCTTGAGGTGTCCTATTTTCTCCAAGCCCTGCCCATCCTCAGCACGGCCTCCCTGTTCCTAAAGCTGCAGTTCATGGCTTTTTCAGTGGGTGGCAGCACATACAGAGCAAATCACATAACCAGCTTCACACAGATTGGGAGCCAGAAGAAATTGGCCCTAGAAATTACCTCGATATAAAGAAACACACCGGAGATCACATTCCATCCAATTACATAGTTCCCATTTACCCTCACATCACACGCTGCCACCAGAGACACACACACAAACTTCCATGGCTTTTGCTGGACATATCTGGGCCTCGATCCTTCCTCCACGACCCCACTTGGCCCTTCCCTTCCTCCCTCCCCTTGGACTTTGCCCTTCTCACTGGCCAGGCAGGGGGGCCAGAGTCCAGGCTTGACTCATACCCCACCTCGCTGGGGCTGAGATCCCAGCTCCGTAACAGAAAACACCACCGCTTCAGCTCCAACCCCGTCGAGAACCACCGAGCCCAGACCTCCCCGGAGAGGCAACTCTTCTGCTCCTTCCCTCCACCATGGAGTACCTCTCTGCCCTGAACCCCAGTGGCCTGCTCAGGTGATTTCTAACCCTTCTCTCCACTCTCCAGCTCTGGGGATATAGGCAGGGTGACAAAGCTGCTTTCAGACCCTAGAAAACTTTCGAATTTGTACCCCTTCCCCTCCCTGCCCCTCTTCACAGTGGGCTTGTCCAGCTCCTGAACCGCCCCCCCCACCGCCGCCCAGTCCGTGGTCTCTCCCTCTCTCCCCGAGCTACTTTAATCTGCACACCTAGATCCCTCCCTCCCAACTTCCCTAAAGCTCCAGCTACCCCAAGCCCGTCACCCCGCCGCTGCACTCACCAAACCCCTCACTCCTTCTTGACCTTTCTTCCCACCTACCAGGTCAGTAACCAGTATGAGCTCCGATTTGGGCCGTAAGGTCTGGACCTCGGCTCCACCACCCCCGCGACCTTTCCGCATCTGTGATCACAAGCGGGCCACCCGGAAAGGCCTTACAGCTGCCACCCGCCGGGAACTGCTAGACAAGGTGAGTGGGCCACGTCCCTGGGTTCCAAGAGCAGGGGCAGCCAAGGGGCTAGAGAAGAGTGTGAGCTTGGAATAATGAGTAGGAAGGGCTGTGGTTACATGGCTGCCCCTCCCTCTGAGGGCTAAAAGCAGGGGGCTGAGCCCAGTGGCTTCTGCTGCATTTGAGTCAATTCACTTTTTTTTTTTTCCAAGGAGTGGGCTTTTCTTTGGGGGCGGGAAAGGAGTAGACAGGGTTGGAGGGATAGATTTCAGAACTCAGTATGGAATGGCAATTTGTATGACAGATCAAATTCAAATCCTGATTCTGCTGCTTCCTAGTGTCAAAACTTGGGAAGTTACTCAGCCTATCAAAACCTCAGTTTCTTCATCTGTAAAAAGGGAACAATAATACAACTACCTCCTAGGGCTGCTGAAAGGAGTAAAAGAGAATAATGTATGTAAAGTGCTACATAGATACTTGACACTAGTGAAGACTCAAAAAGGTTAAAAGTCATTATTACTGAAAATAGTTCTGAAGAACTCTGTGAGGGTCGGGGAGAGTGAGGTGGGACACTGGAGATAAGACCCCGTCGTGACAGGCCCCATCAGCATAATGCCTATACCCATTCAAGAGAAAATGGCTAGCTTTTCAGCTCCTAACCAGTAGGCATGGCTTGGAGGGACGCTGAGATGACAGTGACATGGTAGGAGCAAAGCAGGAACAAATAGGAAAAGGACAGCCCCTGGTGAGGGTCCCCCAACAACTAAAGAACACCGTGAGCTAGAGCCATTAGAAGGGATGGCAAAGCACCAGGAAGGAGAGTTGGGATATCAGTCAGCATCTAGGGTCAACCGTTGGGTGCTGGGCAGCTGGACAGGGAAGGGGCATGGGATAAGCTCTGCCCCTTCCCTCCTACTTCTTGCCACTGGGCAGGCACTGGAGACTCTGACGCTGAGTGGAGTGCTAACACTGGTGCTGGAGGAGGATGGGACCACAGTGGAGAGCGAGGACTTCTTCCAGCTGTTGGAGGATGACACATGCCTGATGGTGCTGGAGTTGGGACAGAGCTGGAGCCCCAGCAGGGTGAGAGGCCCACACTGGGGCTGCTTAGGCCACTGATCCTTTCTGTCTCTCCCAAGCCTCTTCTGCTGCCTAACCCTGATCTCGGGGGCAGAGGCGATGGGAGAGGTGAGGAGTTGTCGAGGACTCCTTAGAGTAGACCAACAGTCCAAGCAAGGGTGGGTCTGTCCCAGTGCTGATGGGGATTAGTGGTGGGTGTCAGTATGTGAGGGTCCATTGCACCGATGTGGGGGGGCCCTACAGGGTGGGGTGCTGTCGTATGGCCTGGGCCGAGAGAAGCCCAAGCACAGCAAGGACATCGCCCGCGTCACCTTCGACGTATACAAGCAAAACCCTCGAGACCTCTTTGGCAGCCTGAACATCAAAGCCACGTTCTATGGGCTCTACTCCATGAGCTGTGACATTCAAGGACTCGGCCCAAAGAAAATACTCAGGTCAGAGACCAACATGTCACACTTGCCCACCCCTACAGCTGCACTCCCCTACCCTGTTAGCTCTCCCCTGTGGAAAACCCCCAGACCCCACCCCGTGACTTCCTCTTGTCTCTGCCCTTCAGGGAGCTCCTCCGATGGGCCTCCGCACTGCTGCAAGGCCTGGGCCACATGCTGCTGGGAATTTCCTCCACCCTTCGTCATGCAGTGGAAGGGACTGAGCGGTGGCAGCGGGAGGGTCGCCTCCAACCCTACTGAGAAGGGGCTCTGAGCTTCTGCCCCTAGACTCATTCCAAGAGACAGACTGTAAGGACTGTGACAGCATCAAGTTTGGGGCCTACACACAGTGCAGGCTCACTAACCCACCTGTTTTCCCCAGTCTTCTGATCCCATAGTGACAGGCCCATCAGCCTAACGCCTTCCACCCCAGCCTATACCCATTGCTGAAGAATACTATCCATTCCTAGCCATCTTTCCAGCCTCCCACTTACCCTGAAAGGCCACAGCCTGTCCACAGGCATCTGGATCCCACCCTGATTGCTGCTACATCTAGAGGTCCTTACCACTCCCCTCCTGTCCCTAAGCTCCCCAGTGCCCTGAAGAGAGCCCTCTCTAACTTTACCTTGAGATCTCTATTTCTTTGTACCCTTCCCCCGCAAAATAACAAAAGTGTTTCCAGTAAAAATATAAAAATGTTTATCAATAAGACTTTTGACTCCAGTTTAAACTAGGAACAGGACAGGATAGATACTCTGTCTCCCCCTGCCCCATGAACACCCAGTCCCAGATCCAAAGGCCTTAGTCTTCAAGTATTGAATTCAAGGCCCGCCTCCGCTTGGCTACCGCCCCCTGCTGCTGTTCCCAAGCCTCTCGCCGCTTCAGGAAGGTAGTCAGGGCCACGTTTCGAGCTACATGGTGGCCAAAAGGGTCCCTTATCAGCTCCTGGTTCCGCGCCCCTGCAAAGGGAACCGTTCGTGTTCAGTATCACCATGCAGTCACCCACCCATCCTTGAAGAGACTCTACTTGGGGTGAAGGTCCCTCCATTTTTTTGGAACCCTGGGTCTGCCTCAGGATAGAGTTAACACCTCACTGTCCAAAGTAGAGAAGTTAGGAGGAGGGGTGGGAGCACAGGGCTGCACAGTCCACAGAGGGGCAGGGGAGAACAGACTGCCAAGAACCCGTGGCCAAGACCACCCTTTGGAACTGAAGTCTCTGCTTAATCTAGGTCCATTCCCAGCCACCCAGCTCTTTACAGTGAGGAAAGGGAACATTGGGAAAGGTCAAAGATCGGTGCTGGTACTCACCCAGCTCAGCAGCAATTTCCTTCCGGGCCCCCAAGGCTGCCCCACTCCAGATGGCATCAAGCACACGGCTGCCGTGGCGACTACAGGCCATAGCCATATACTGTCCCTGCATTGAGACAAGCAAGGTAGGGCCCTCTAGGGCAGTGCACAGAAGTGTGCTGGGTGGGGGTGGGCATGAGGGCTGAAGTTCAGAGGCTGAGTTGAAGCAGTCTAGGAACTACATATCCTCTCTGTGACTCCGAAGCACAGTCCTGGGGGAAGCTCACATTCTCTAAATGGAGGATGGCAGAGGAATCAAAGCAGAAGCCAGAAATCTAACCTTTAGGGTCTTCAGCACCCGGCGGCACTGCTTGCGTGTCACGGAGGGGCTGGTCAGGACAGCATCAAGCACATGGGAACCAGCAGGGCTTTGGGCCAGAGTCAGAAGCTGTGGTCCTGTCAAGGCACCCAAACTTCGAAGTATAAGACCAGGACTGGAGAAGTGCAGCAAATGCTGGAGCAGTAGAGACCCAAGGACTGTCACTTCCCCCAGGTCCCTGGCGGTGGCCATTTCTACCTGGAAGAACACAGACAGGGAATTAGGAGGCAGCCACCAAACTGCCACCTTCACTTGGATGAAGCCAGAGATCTCAACACCCTCACCTCAGTGGTGAGGGGCTTCCTAAGCCCTGGGAGGCCTGGTCCCCAGTTAGTCACAGGTTTGGCCTCTCTCCTACCTCACCTGGTGCTCCGCGGGCACTGCCCCCTCCTCCTCCGCCAGTCCATAGTACACCTCATAAGTCATCAAAGTGGCAAAGAGAGGCACACAGGCCACTTGCCGGGAAGAGGGCTCTGCACAGTGGAACGCCTAGAAAGGAAGACAAAACATGAAACTGAAAACTAACCTCAACTAATTCATCCCTAACCTCAACTTCCCAGACAGGGGAAAGCATTCAGGACAGATGAGAATGCCTAACTCCACAAGAACATAAGCTGCATGCGGACAGGATCTCATCTGCCTTGCTGTATCCACAGGCTCCATATATGTAACAGGGGCTGAATATATATTTATTCCTTAAAACTTCTCTCTCTGTCCTGGGAGACTATTTTCATTCCAGGGCCATGAGATGGTTTTGGCTTCATTTCCCCCTGTATCTGTGAATTCCCTGGGCACTAGACCTCTTGGGTCCAGATACAACGACTGAAGATTAGCTAAGTCCTAGCAGGTAGAATTTGAACTGAGGGCATAAATGGGTTGCGGGTAACCACCACTCACCTCCAACAACAGCTGTAGGACCTGGGCTTGGTGGATCCCAACTCTGTGGCAGGCCCCGACCAGGGCAATGACTACCCCTGAGTGACCCTGAGCCAGCACAGCTTCCAGGGCAGGGCTTAGTTCCTCAAACACGGGGGACAGCTGAGGGGAGACATGGGTTAAAGAATCTGGCATTCTGGTAACAGTGGGCTGAGTTATTCAGAGAAATCTTCCTGCCAAAAACAACTAAAAATGCTAGATAAAACATAAAAGCATTGCCAATAACAGGACTTTGGTTTGGATGGATAAGGAAGGTCCAGAACAAAGGGGCAGTCTTAGAGGTGTGGCCTCCCATGGGGAGGGGATTGTAAATGGCCATTCTCTCAGGATAAGGGAGGACTAGAATTAAACCTCCCCTTCTGCCCTAGATCTCAACTCATGAGATCCCAGGGAGACATGCCTTGGCACTAAGCAGCAAAGGAAATGAGAAGCTATGACAGCAGCTCCAGTGCTCATATGGATTTGTAGCCAAGTACCCAGAGACTGTGCGAGCCATGGAAGCTCAGGCTGAGAACTCGAATTACCACCAGTCTCCTGCTGGCATTGGCACCTGAGAGAAGCCAAAGCAAATCCTTTCTGGGAAGAAGGCACCTTCACCCTAAGCTCTGGGAAGCCCCCAGGAATAACTTCTCAAGGGGAACGGCCAGCACACTGTTGAAAATACAGAAGCCGGCATACAATAAAGCAAGTCCCAATGAATAAGAACTAAAAGAAACAGATTCAGCCAAGTTCCTGACTCACCAGCTCAGGAGTGGTGATAGCATCCAGGAAACGCTGCAAAGGGAAGTTAGCAATAGGATGTGCAGCCAGGGTCTGCAGCTGTCCTTGGAAGTGATCCTCAAAGAGGCTCTGGAGCCTTGGGGGCTCCGACACCAGCAGCACCTGCTCCAGGAGTCTGGAGCTCGTCTGATCGCGCAGAAATAGCAGTAGGGGACTGGGGACAAGGAGAGGGTGATCAGGTAGTCTTCACTTCACTTCATCCAAAATAACCACATCACTGGACTTACCATGGTGATCATTTTGAAGTGTACTGAAATAGCAAATCATCACGTTGTGTGACAGGAACTAATACAGTGTTGTACGTCAATTATACTTCAAAAACAAACAAACTTATAGGAAAAGAGGTCAGATTTATGTTTACCAGAGGCAGGGGCCCTGGGGGTAGGGGGAATTGGCGGAAAGCGGTCAAAGGTACAAACTTCCAGTTATAAGATAAATACTAAGGATGTAATGTACAACACGATAAATATAACTAACACTAGTGTATGTTTTACGTGAAAGTTGTTAAGAGTTCCCATCACAAGGAATAAAAATTTTTTGCCTATTTTTTAAATCTTGTATGTAAACAAGATGATGGATGTTCACTAAACTTATTGTGGTAATTGTTTTGTGAGGTAAGTCAGTCAAATCATGCTGCACACCTTAAACTTACACAGTGCTATATGTCAATTATATCTCAATAAAACTGGACAAAAAATAACGCGGCTATATACATATATATCTCATATATATATTTCATATATATACATATGTACACACATATATACACAGAATGAAAACCTTTGTCTTTTAAAACAAACAAACAAAATACCCATATCATGTCATTTCACACAGCCCAACACCTTGGTCAATCCTGAGGCCCTCTCCATACCTGCCATCTGCTGAGGAATTGCGGCTACTCAAGTAGCCCATCACAGCATTGCAGAGGTGGGCACAAAACTGGGGCAGCTTGCGGTGTAAGATCTGTAAGGCTACTTGAAGGCAGAAGCTGGAGATCTTGTCAGTGATAAACACTATGGGGGAGGGCAGAAATAATAAAAGCGGCTTTCCCAAAATCCAGACAACCTATAAAACCTAAGATCTCAGGCAACAAGGTTCAAGGGACTATGGACACAAATGGTCTACATAGGGCCTTTACAACATCAAACCAGATAAGATTTGAAAACAAGAGGAATAAGACTGATCAAAATAAGAGCCTTGTTTGATGATAATCACCTCCAAAAAAGATCCTAGATTTCCTCGTATTTCCCTCCTTACCAGCAATGTCCTTCAGAAAGCAGGAGCTCAGGTTCTGAAGACAATTCAAGAAGGTTTCAGGGACCTCGAAATCGGTTGCCTTACATTCCCGAGATGGGGCCCTTTGTGCTTCTGAAGGAAGATCAAGAACGTATGCAGTGGTGAGATCACAAACTGCCATCCAGGAGGAAGAATAATTCCATAGTTGAACAAGGATTTGGCTTGGAGATGCAGAACACATACAACTCAGTTGGTACAACTGAATGTCTCGTCTCGTCTGGATGACTGAACTGAGACTACATTTCCGTTTTAATTTTTCTAAGAAACTTCAACCAGCTCCCCCATGGTCCATAGGAGATAGTCCAAACTCCTCAGTCAGGAATTCAAGGTGTTCCAAAATCAGGCCTCACCTAAACCCACTATCTTATTTCCCAATGTTTTTCAAAATGTAGGTCTGCTGCCTATGAGTGTATTACAAAATCAGTCTAGTGGGTCTCAACCACCTTTTTTTTTTTGGCCGCACTGCATAGCCTGCGGGATCTTATTTCCCCAACCAGGGATCGAACCCGTGCCCCCTGAAGTGAAAGCACAGATTCTTAATCACTGGACCGCCAGGGAAGTCCTAAGCATTTTTTTAATGTAACACACAAAATAAAATAAAAAAGGAGGTACCTCCCTGGCAGTCCAGTGGTTAGGGCTCCAAGCTTCCACTGCACAAGGCACAGGTTTGATGCCTGGTCGAGGAACTAAGATCCCACAAGCCACATGTGGCTCAGCAGAAAAAAAAAAAAGGGGGGGAAAGAAAATATCAGAGTGGGTTGCATGTAGTAAGGGTATTATTTCCTGATGTTTTGTTTGAATCCAGTATGTGTAGATATACACATATGTATGTCAAGTCATGTTTAAAAAACTTTTCCATACTGTGAGTTCTGGTTAAAAAAAGTTTGAAACGCAATGCTCAAGTGAATCATCTCTTCCACTTGCCCCCATTCTTCTAACAGCTGTTCCCTAAACACACCTATGCATCCTCACCTCTGGGCCTCTACGCACACTAATCTTTGGCCTGCTATCCCTGACCTAATTTCTCTGCTAATTCTTCAAGGTCATGAAGAAATCTTCTGCTTATTCTCTCCTTCTGAACTTCCTAAACTCTCCTTCCCTCTGGGCATATATCCCTTTCTCTCTTTTTTTTTTTTTTTTTTTTTTGTGGTACACGGGCCTCTCACTGTTGCGGCCTCTCCCGTTGCGGAGCACAGGCTCCGTACGCGCAGGCCCAGCGGCCATGGCTCACAGGTTTAGTTGCTATGCGGCACGTGGGATCTTCCCGGACCGGGGCACGAACCCACGTCCCCTGCATCGGCAGGCGGACTCTCAACCACTGCGCCACCAGGGAAGCCCCATTTCCCTTTCTTGTAATACTTACCAGGTAACTGGGAGCCACGGTGCCTGGCTCTCTCAGACTCCAGAAGAGTCCCTCCCAATACCTGCAGCAAAGTTCTGACCACGAAGCTGCCATGTGTGTCTCCACAGTAGAAAAGAAAATCATCACACACCTCAGCGGCTAGTCCCAGGCCCAGCTCCTCCAGGGTCTCCAAAGGACCATCCTTCCCATCCTCCTCCTCCTCCTCCTCCTCTGCAGGGCTCCCTAGCAAACGAGGCAGCTGCAGCAAAGCACTTTGCAATACATGGACCCCACATCGATGACAGGCCACAAAGCGCAAGTTGGGCCGCAGAGCAGCCCATACTCGACACAGCGGTTTCAGGGGACTGAACCCCAACAGTTCCTGCAGCATCTCACTACCAGCCCTGTTTGTGGCCAAGGCTAGGGCCTGAGCCTCCACTTCTTTCAAAACATTGTGCACCATCAGCTCTGGAAAAACAAGAGATATATTAAAGAGAATGAGAGGAGGCTAAGGTTATGTTCCATCACTTAACCAAGGGGTGGGGAGGGAGGAAGGGGATACAGGAGATGAAACTAAGTCCTTACACCCTGGGGACCCACCCGGTCTTGGATTTTATGCCCAACTAAGTGCCTCCCTTGATCCCACCCCAAAGTTGCTCCCTACCTCGTTCTTCTCCCGTCTCGGGTACCTCTTTCAGCGCGGATAGCGCCCGGCGGAAATACCCCAGAGCTTCTGGGCTCAGGTGAGGGTGCGCATCCGGAGCCGGCTCTGAGCGCCCATCCGGAGGCGGGCAGGGTTGTCGCTGGCGGCCTGGTGGGAGGCGCCCCGAGCCCTTGGCTCCGCGCCCTCTTTTGCCACCAGCTGGGAACCTGCGCCCCGCCTGGTGGGGGGAGCGCGGACCCAACCCCATGAGTGCTTCGGGCCCTCTCCGCCAGCAAAGTCTTCCTTAGCCGCAGGGGGAACCTCACGCACTCGCGTGCGGGCCCGGGCCGGGCAGAGTTTAGTCACGCCCGCGCGCTCAGGGCGCAGCGTTATACGTCATAGCCCCACGACTGCCGCTCCGGGGCGGGAGTGGCTGAGTTTCTGGATCGCGCAGCTCTCGCTTGCCAGTCCTGGCTCCCACCGGTAATTGCCTCGGACCCATGGGGTACTCTTTGACCCTCCCCTCCGCGTCGCCAGTGGAAACTAGGTCAGAACGCGGACTTCCACCCCAGCCTCGTACTCTGACCCCGTAGTTGTCACCTCGTCCCTCTCCCGCGGCCAGAATTAAAGTCCTCGACTTCGAGAACTTTGCGAGCGAGGCGGCGCGAGAAATCCAGCAGCAGTACACGTGTCAGGTAAGGGGCGCGAGCTCCCTCCACTTCGGCCTCGGGGTCCCTTGGCCTCGCGCACACCCCCGACCCGGAAGTCTCGCCTCCGGACCAGCGGCCAGAGCTCCAGAGAGCTCAGGACTCCGCGTGGACGCGCTGGGAGGGACCGACCCGCTACAGTCCCCCACCCAGTCAGCCCCACTCAGAAAGTCTCAGTAAGTGGCCCTCCTGGACAGCCCCATTTCTTCACTCCTTGGCCTCCCAAAAGGGACAACCAGCCATGTCCTGGGGCCTGCACTGGTTATCCCCCTTCTTCAGTCCTTGGCCTCCCAAAAGGGCCAACCAGCCTTGTCCTGGGCCCTGCACTGGTTATCCCCCTCTGAAACTTCTCTCCCATCAAAGAATCTCAACCTTGGCTCCCCTTCCTATCACTGTCAAGGTCCCCCCTCTGCAATGTACACTCTGCAGGCTTCCCTCAGAGCAAGTCCTTGCTTCCACAGATTTAATCCCTTCGCTTGTGAGTCATGCCAGCTCCCATGAAGGGCCAAGTGTGCGTGGTTACTGGTGCTTCCAGGGGTATTGGCCGGGGCATTGCTTTGCAGCTCTGCCAGGCAGGTGCCACAGTTTACATCACTGGCCGCAATCTGGACACACTGCAGGCCACTGCTCAGGAGGTGAGTGCTTCTTCTGGGATCCCAGGGGCAGAAACCACCTCAGGGAGCCCTTCCCATTAACCACTCATCTTAATCCCTTACCTGAAACCAAAATATTCCTCAGTAAACATGAACATTTTTATTCAAAGTGGGATAAGTAAACCCCATAGGTAACTTCAGATCAGGTCATATTTTGCCACCAAGTGAATTTTATGAAAGAACTTGCTGTTTGAGAGCTTCAAGGATTTTGGAGTTGCATCTTAAGAGTTGTGCACCTGTGCTTTTTCTCTGTTTTTGTTAAGACTTTATTGACTTGTACATTTTCACTTGACTTTTCTACTGAATTTCAGTTAAATAAATACTGGGGTGTGTTTGATAGGCTAGGCACTGGGTGAAGCACTGGGGTTACCAAGATTAGTAAGACATAATTTCTGCTTTTAAAAGAGAGTCCAGCAGGAAGTCTAAGGCAGAAACGGATCATTTCAATGTAATGTGAATACAGTAGGTGATAAAAGTAATGAATATGAATATGGTAAGTGATAAGTGTGCCCATAATGCACTGGGAATATGGGTGAGCAGTTAGGCAGGGAGGTCAGAGGGTGGGACCCAGAGCATGGATCTGGAGACTATGATGATTGTTCTTGAATAAGGTATTTTTTTCTGCAGTTAGAGGATGGGGGCACATTTGTAGAGGGTGAGGCAGAACAGGAAGTAGAGATAGTTCATGTCTGAGAGCTTTGATTTCTCATTTACCAGGCAGAAGTGTTGGTGGAGTGAGGGTAAGAGGGCTGGGATTTTAAGTTGGGATTCCACATGAGTGGTGAAGAGTGGGAGCTAAGGGCACGTGAAATGGAAATGACCAATAATGAGGAAAAAGATCGATACTCATTTCTCAAGAGCAGCCTCCAAGCCTAATTTGTCCCTCACCCTCCGCATGTAGAGTACGATGCCTCGCGCGTGGTAGGCCTCAGTAAATGTCTATAGATTTTAAACCTGGGATCCCCATCAACCTTACTCTACAATGACAGGACCTAGCATTCCTGAAACTCCTCCAACAGGCACCAGAGGGCAGCATTGCCACCATGTTCCCTCAGCTGCTGGCTGTGAGTCCTATGATTGCCTTCTCAGCTCCCACGCTGGGAGTTGAGGGGAGCTGTGTTATGTCTCATACTATGTTGACGGGAAGCTCATATCCTCTCTAACCCTCTCCAGGCACAATCCCGAGGGGGCCGGTGTGTGCCCGTGGTGTGTGATTCAAGCCAGGAGAGTGAAGTGCGAAGCCTGTTTGAGCAGGTGGATCGAGAACAGCAGGGGCGTCTGGATGTGCTGGTCAACAACGCCTATGCTGGGGTCCAGGTGCTCTTTGACTTTGACCCCAGGTCCATACTCCTGACCTTTCCCTCTGACCTGAGTCCTCATCCCCACTCATCCTTTCCATTATCCAGCCCCTTCCTGCCTTCAAAGCATCCTATTCACCACTCTCCCTGTCTTCCAGGCAATCCTGAACAACACTAAAAAGGCATTCTGGGAAAGCCCCGCCTCCATCTGGGATGATATCAACAACGTCGGACTCAGGTAGGTGCCTCCCCTGCCACCCCACTAAGGGCCTGGGCTCCCCTCACTCAACCAAGCTGAGGGCCAGACGTTTTCCCATGTGCCCTCTCCTTTTCCCTCTGATCTTTTCTCTCTTCTCCCTTCTGTCCCATTTGTCCACTAATCTCTAAAGAAGTTTAATCCAGGTGAATCTGTACCTAAGAATGTCAACTTTTGCCTTGTTTCTGTCAGTAATTTTCATCTGAATTTGCCCTTGCCCTCCCTCCTGCCTCATTTTCTGCCCATCCAAATGCATGATCCAGAAGGGAGTCTCCTTTCCTCAGTAAAGCATGCCACCTGTAGTCAGTATTTCCAAAGATGGCTAGAGGAAGAAATTGTTTTGTTTTAGATCAGAAGAAGGTCAATAAGGAAGAGTGAGTGCCAGCTATCTTAGCCTTTCCCTCCTCACTCCAGACCCACAGGCAAGGGTACTCCCAAGTCCAAGTTGGGAGGGCAGGGGTGTCATGGGGTTACACATACATCTGGCAAAGGAGTGAGATGAAACACCGCATTTAGAGTTCACCCAGCATGACATACATCAGTTAGGTCTGTGTTTATTGTTGGAAAGAGGGTACCCTCTCAGAAACTACACTGCATGAATGTGATCAGCCACCTGTGGGAGTCACCAAGAGATCATATGCAAATCTACTTCTGAAGCGTCTAAGGGCACTCAGGGCTTCTAGTGGCAACCCCAAGGAAGCAGGATTAGAATCCACTTATCATTTCCCAAGTGGAATAAAGGTTGTGAGGACAGAGGGGGATGGTGAGCCAACAATCAAGAAAAGAAAACCCAGACTTCCCTGGCAGTCCAGTGGTTAAGACTCCACCGTTCCACTGCAGAGGGCATGGGTTCAATCCCTGCTTGGGGAACTAAGATCCCGCGTGCCGCATGGCGTGGCCAAAAAAAAAAGAAAGAAAAGAAAACCCAAAGAGCTAGAAATTGGCAACACCCATATCCTTAACCCTCCAAAGAGAGGGGCCTTCCACACTCTCATCTCCTGCTGGTCAGGGTTTTGAGCCTGTGAAGCAAAGGCCTGGACCCCGCCCTGGAGCCCTGATGAATTCTCCAAGGTGAAGGTCACTCTGAGCCTCCTGGAAGTGCACCAACACCTCCTTTCACCTCCCACACACACATTCACACTTACTGTGCCTTTTTTCGGCATTGCCTGAGGCCAGGCTTCCTTTTGATACCATACCCTACTTGTTTTCATTTTGAGGGTCCTGTTTCCCTTGTGAAAGAAATTTCTTTCTGGTTACCAAGTATGTGTGTGTTATTTTTTTAAAAATATACTGTGAAGACCAGTACAATCTTACTCCCCTAGTCACCACCGCTTCCTCTTTTGCTTGAGATATAGCTACTGTTAATAGCCTAGTATATATTCTACCATTCATTTAAATATTCCACTAGGAAGAGATACCATAATTTATTTATCTAACCTCTTATTTGTTGCAACAGTGGAAAATAATTAGGTCAAAAAATATGACTTCTTAAAGATTTTAATAAGCATTATCAAGCTGTCCTCTAAAAAGACCCCACCAATTTATAATCTCACAACAGTAAAGGAGGATACCTGTTTCCCCGTGTCCTCAATCATACTAGACAATATCAGGCCACGAGGTCAGGCAAGTTGCGCCATTCTAATAGACCAAAGATACCTGAAGGTGTTTTTTAATTTACACTTCTCTATTATTTGTGAAGTTGAGCTTTCTTTTTTCACTTTTTATTGGTTCTTGATTCTTTTGTGAGTTGTGTTACTAAGTTATTCTTTTCACATTAATTTATAAGAGATCTTTGTACAAGATCTTTAGATTCCTTTAATGTATGTTTTACAAATATCTTTCTCAATTTATTACTCATTGTTTGTATGTATGCTCTCCTCAGCTATGTGTACTTAATTGTGTACACACGTACGTATTTGTACATCTTTCTCTCTATGTATATGTCTTACTGTTAAGAAGTCACATTTCTATCTAGGTGTGATACTGAGACAAGTTTTCCCTACCTCAAGTTTATGAACACATTGTCATGCTTTCTTTTAGTGCTTTTGTGCACTCATTTTTTTATATTCAAATATTTTGAGAGTGCATTTTAAAACAATAAATGAGGTAGAGAACCAATCCCACCCACTAAATAACTGACCAGTTTTTCCAAATCCATTTATTGTGTGGTCCGTCTCGCCCCGTTGGTTTGAAATGTTCCGTTTGTAATTCGCTGAATTCTCCTTTACACTTGGATTAATTATTGAGTATTTTGTTTCATTACTTACTTATGTATTATTATGCCAGTCCTGCATTTTTTTAACTATTATGTCACTGTACTTTTTTTTTTTTTTTTTTTTTTTTTTTTTTATGCGGGCCTTTCGCCTCTCACTGTTTGCGGCCTCTCCCATTGAGGAGCACAGGCTCAGCGGCCATGTCTCTTTTTTTTTTTTTTTTTTTTTTTGCTGTACGCGGGCCTCTCACTGTTGTGGCCTCTCCCGCTGTGGAGCACAGGCTCCGGACGCGCAGGCTAAGCAGCCATAGCTCATGGGCCCAGCCGCTCCGCGGCATGTGGGATCTTCCCGGACCGGGGCACGAACCCGCGTCCCCTGCATCGGCAGGCAGACTCTCAACCACTGCGCCACCAGGGAAGCCCCTTATTGTACATTTTAACGCAGGTTGTCTGGGTGAGGGAAGCATATCCCCCTCACCCACACGATATTACTCTTCCTTTTTCAGAATTTTCCTGGCTATTCTTACACATTTATTCTCATTGAGCTTTAGATTGTTTTGTTGAGTTCTCCAGAAGTCTTATTGAGATATAACTCAAATTGACTGAATCTGTGGATTAGTTTAAGTAGAACTGATGTTTTACATGTTGATTCTTCTAAACAAATTATGTCTGTACTTGTTCTTTTATATTAAGCAGAACTTTATAGTTTTTTCTTGTAGATCCTATATATTTATTATGTTTTATCCCCTGAGCTATTTTAGCTTTGTTATTGCTGTCGTGACAGAGTGCTTTTCTTCCATTACAGTCTTTTAAAGACTGCTGGTTCTTAACCTTCGGTGGTTAATATTACCCGTGTCCCTCTCAGAATGTGGCCTCAGGCCCTTGATTCACCAGGTTTGCGGCCTTCTCCTGGATCAGAAGCCATTAGGGGGCAGAAGAAACTTCCCAAGACAGCCCTGAACGTGGTTCATTCCTTCTTCTTTGCCCCACCTTCTAGAGGCCACTACTTATGCTCTGTGTATGGGGCACGACTGATGGTACCAGCTGGCCGGGGGCTCATCGTGGTCATCTCCTCCGCTGGTGGGCTGCAGTATTTCTTCAACGTCCCCTATGGCGTGGGCAAAGCTGCGGTGAGGACCCACTGGCACAGGGGTTGGGGACAGTCGTGGTACCCATAGCTCAGGAGAGACAGTCCCCGGTAGTCAGAGTGGTGAGGCTGACTGACCCTCACCTCTTCCTCTGCCCCTGCATGGATGGTTCCTTTGCCTGGGCTCCTCTCAGCTGGCCAGCCTAGGCAGTGCACTGGGGAAGGTGGCCAGCTGAGACAGGGCTCCTGGGAAGGCCAGGGGGTTGGGCCATCCTCGGTGGAAGCAGGGAAGGCAGGGGAGGGAGGTGACCAGGTGCCCTGACTCCCACCTGGCCTTCTGTCCCTCTGCAGTGTGACAGGCTGGCTGCTGACTGTGCCCAGGAGCTGCGGCGCCACGGGGTCAGCTACGTGTCGCTTTGGCCAGGGTTGGTGCAGACAGAACTGCTGAAGGAGCACATGATGAAGGAGGAGAACACTGCTGATCCCCTTGTTGAGCAGGTTGGCAAGGGGAGGGCGAGGGTGGCAGAAAATGGGGGGCTCAGCCACTCCATCCCCAACCACAAGACAGTAACAACAGAGTAAATACCCAGGTGCTTGTCGCGGCAGGCGCAGGGCTGAGCACTGACACACATTATGTCCTTTTCTCCTGTAAGGGAGACGGTGTCTCCATTTCACAGACGGGGAAACTGAAACTCAGGGAAGCTAAGAAACTTTCTCAAGGTCACATGTGCCATAAGTGGAAAGATTATCCAGCTCCAAAGCCCATGCCCTTGACCTCTGCTCTGAACTAATCTAGAAGGCCCAGACATAATTGACAACCCTACATCCTTCCACTTAGGAAAGGCAGTTGGTCCTGGTACTGGGGTACAAGGCTCACTGGATGTGGGGAGGAATGATTCCCGTACCTTCTGAGATGCTGAGTCCTGCAGGTGCAGTGATGAGGGCCTCTGTCTCCTGGACAGAAGCTGAAAGCAGGGAAGGGACTTGGGCATTGCTCTTGGAAATTAACCCTTCACTTCTCTGCCCCTGTGTTTCAGTTCAAATTTCGTTTCTCATCTGCGGAGACCACAGAAATGAGTGGCAAATGTGTGGTGGCCTTGGCAACAGGTGAAGAGGTTGGGGGCAGCTGGTAACAGGAAAGGACGTGGAGGATCTTCAGGGTGGTGGCAGCCAGTTCAGGGTCCTGAGCCAGGAATACGCCCTTCTTTTCTCTGGCGTCTTGAGCCCCAAAGGGTCCGATGCCCAGTTTGAGGTGTGGGATCCTCAGGAACTGGATCCTGGGAGACGTGGCCAAGAGCCAGAGGCCCAGCAACCTTCCTAGAAACAGAGAGAAACAAGTCTGGGTCCCTAAGCCTTGTCACCCTGGGCCACACCCGGGCCATCTCAGCTGTCTTTGTGCCCACAGACCCCAATATCCTGAGCCTAAGCGGGAAGGTGCTGCCATCCTGTGACCTGGCACGGCGCTATGGCCTGCAGGACATTGATGGTAAGAGCTCTGGCCCAGCAGCCAGCCTGGACCTCTCTTCCTTCTCACCCGGCTCACCGCTTCTCCCACTCTCTCTCCCTGTTCCCTCCTCCCTCACCTTCCATTCAGTCTCCTCAGCCGGGGTGGGGGTGTCTGAGGAGTGGGAAGCAAGGGTCTAATCCTTCTTTTCCTGTGGTCCGCAGGCCGCCCCGTCCAGGACTATTTGTCTTTGAGCTCCATGCTCTCCCATGTCTCCAGCCTGGGCTGGCTGGCCTCCTACTTGCCTGGCTTCCTCCGAGTGCCCAAGTGGGTTATGACCCTCTATGCTAGCAAGTTCTAACCCTCCTGGCCTGACACAGTTCTGCTTCCCTTTGGGCTGAGCGGTTGGCCTATCTCAGTGGAACAAGGCCGCCTTTCCCGCCCAACTACTGCATACCCTTGATCTGAAGAGAAGACCTCTGCCGTGTGCCCTGGTTGAGCCCTAGGGGCCTTTATAGGTCCTTCTTCAGGTCTTCCTTGCCCCTGCGTTTTACTTTTTGCCTTAATATTGAAAAATGTTCTGGGGGCTAATAAAGGTCTCGTTTCTCCTTCAACTTATTTTCACATGCTGATTCTATGCTCAGGAAGGTATTAAGTACTTGAGAGAGAGACCTAATGGTATGCAAAATGTGTGGATTCTCAAGGATCTCTGTCCCCAGCACAAGCCCCTTTACTCCACGTCTGTTCCTCCTCTTCCCTGTAGAGCCGCCCATCTCAGGAGCACCTGCCCTTTGGCTCCCATGCCCCAGCTGGGGAGGAGGGTCCCTCCACAGCCAGAAGCAGGCACATCCCAGTCCCTCACTGCTTTCTCACCCCCTCATTCCGCCGTCTCTTCAGGGATGCCTGCTGCCTTCTAGCTGGGCCTGATCCCTGGTTGAGGCCCAATCCAGGAAGGGCAAACTCCTCGGTGTTTACAGTTTCCTGGAACTCGGGGGGAAAATACTATCCAGATCCAAGTGAGAAGCAGAAGAGTAGTTGACGGCACCGGCACACTGACACCCTCCCTCCCGGGTGGCACCACCTGAACTGCTTTCTGAAGAACTGACTGCAAGAACCCTCTAGGGCTGCCTTTCCTGCTTGGGCGGGATCTGTCCCAGCCCGAGGCAAGGCAACAGGGTGTGTATTCCACAGAGGAGCTGAGGGCCATCCTGAGGGCACCTTCCCACTAGCAGCCTTGATGGCTGCTGTAAATCAGAGTGGCATAGATAATTTCTAAACTTCAGAAAAGGCAGGGTGAGAGCTGAGGCTTCCCAAGGCTCCCCATAGAGTCTGCAGAAGCTGGGATCTTCCTGTGGCTTTTTGGGGGCCGCCCCCGGTTACTATGCCAGTGGGTGCTGGGGTGGCTCACTGGCTGCTGAGAGCTGGTTGTGTGCATCTCCTCCGACCCTGCAGTCAGTGACTTGACAGCGGTGGCTTGAATTCAGCTATGGTGCGAGTATGTATGGCACGGGAGTCCACAGCTGCTGCCAATCAGGGCATTTTTTAAGAGAGAGCCAGCTTCTCAGCGTATGACTAGAGCTGCTTACTTAAATTCCACCATTTACCCAGGCACCCCATTCAGATCGCAGTGATCACACTTCCTTGCCACCCACTCACTGCCTTCCACTCACCACGCTAAATTCCCCTAAGATTGGTGAGGAGCAGCAGCAGTTGCCTGTGTGCTTTAAGAAGGACAAGCACCTCAGGATCTCCTCCAGCTTTCCACACCCATCTTTAAAAAACATCATTGGAACAGATCCTTTCGTGAGGGCCTTGTTCCCTAAACACCACAAGGTATCATGGGAAGAACATGGGCTTCAAAGTCATACAAATCTGTGCACAAATCCTAACTTCACCACTTTGGAAAGTAAGTGAAATAACATATATGCACCAAGCAATATGTAGCCACTGAAGTTGTCAGTTCTTCCTCTTAACAAACATTTAAGAGTATGCTCTGCACCAGGCACCATTCTTGGCTTTGGGAGAGCAGAGAACAAGACAGACCAGGCTTCAACCCACAGAGGACTTTCATTCAGCCCTGGAAGACCTTAGAAGTCAGCTAGACCTTCGACTTACCTTAGGAAGTGAGTGAACTGGGTCCCCAAGAGTACACCAACGCAGAGTTCAGCCTCAGCCCTGGTTATCTCAAGAAGCCAGAGGGAGCACTGTTCTTTAAGAGACACCACACTGCCTCCCTCCAACAAGACTTAATTAATCTTAGAAACGTAAACAATGGAGTCGAGCTCTGAGAGAATGAAACATGGACAGTGAGTGTTGATTGGAGGTAGAAGAGAGTCAGGATCTGAGAAACCCAATAGCACATAGTCTTAGGGGGGATTAGTATTCATTCAGAAAACATTTATTTGACACCTGCATTCTGCCCAGCACCATACTAGGCACCAGGGAAGACTAGTTCAATTTGGTGAGATGGGTGCTATAGTAAGTTTACACAGTACCCTGACAGTACAGGAGGGAGCAACTGGCTCCATTAGGAGAGTGAAGGAAGTGATAATGACCAGAGACTTAAAGAATGGGAAGAGAGAAGGTGGGAGGGGGATCTTTTTTTCTAACTAAAAAAAAAAAAGGCAGGTACTGAGACACAAAATGGTGCAGGACAGCTAGAAGTTGGTATGACGTAAGTGTAGATGTGGTATGGAATAAGTTTCCAGGGAGAAAGGAGATGAGTAAAGATCAGTGATTAAGATTTAAATTGTGGGCAGTAGGTTTCCACCCAGAGGATTCATCTTAGATGCTGAGTGACTATTAAGGAAGTGCTCCCAGGGGAGCTGGGTGGGTGGAGCAGGAGAAGCCAAGCAAGAGCTCCAGTTCAGCCATGGAGGGTGGCTTCCCTCAGAGCCCAGGGGAGAGCACTGGAGTGTAAGGCCTCAGGGTAGCCCTGCCTGGGACAAGGGAGCCAGGCTTTCATTCCCCACCACCACCATTGAGCAGTCACCAGTCACACTTCGGCCCAGGTGGGGCCAGGCAGGGCAAAGCAGCTCCAGGAGGTCATGGGCAGCCTTCCAAGAGGAGCTGCAGGTGTCGACCTTGAAACCACATTGAAGGGGGTGTCATGCGCAAAAATGGAAGAGGGTATCCAAGGGGATCTGGGCAGAGCATTAACACTGTAAGCTACAGGAGGATTTAAGCAAGAGAGGAGTGTGCACTGATTTGTATTTGAGGAAAAGCTCACTGGGGCTGAGGTGTGGGGAGGATGGACCAGAGGGAGGACAGGCAGGCATCAGAAGAGCTGCCCAGAGGCTGGCCAATATCCCGGGGTGTGATGGCAGCGGAGGTGTGGGCTGAGGAGAGATTGTAGGAGGCAGAGTCAATAGACAGGACCTGTAGGAAGGCAGGTGGGGCTGGTGCAGTACTGCCATGCTGTTACCACTGGCACGGGGGCCGTGAAAGCAGCAGCAGGCACAGAGAAAGAAAGAATGTGCCGGAGTTGTGAAGGAAATCAGCCGTGGTGAGACACAGGGGCTGGCTGAGATACAGCCCCTACCCCTACCAGAGCAAATCTAGGGACTTGGCCGGTCCCCAGAAGATGCTTAATCCCCTAAGGGAGCCCAGGGAAGGATGGAGAAGAGATTTTTGATTAGCATTTTAAAATTTACATTTCTCAAAGGTGACATTCACATGGGTCAGAATCCAAAAGGTATATAAAGGTGTACAGTGAGAAGTCCCCCCTCCTATCCCTGCTCACTAGTGCCCAGTCCCAACCCAGAGGCAGCCAGCACTACCATATTCTTGGGTAGCCATAGAGAAAGCCCATGCCTGTACAAGCAAAGAGCTAAGCATATTTCAGAGAAGAGATTTGACTGTGTGCAAATCTGGGCCTCTCTTTCTCCAGCTAAGGGGTTGTATTTTCCAGTCTCTGAGGCCTATTATGGCCCTTGTGTTCTACACTTCTAAGCAAGGAGCAGCCCTGGCCCAGAGGCCCCACCCCTTCTCACGTTGTTACGCAGGTGCTCCCATTACCCAAAACTTCCCTACCCCGCTAGCAGGGAGGGTAAGAGAAAGAGCAACTGAGGGCCTAAAGAATGGAGGAAAATGACTGCAGAGAAGCAGTGGCGGTGCCAAGGAGCCCAGCCTCATCAGCCTGACCAGCCCTGGCCTCCTCAGAAGCGGACCCACACTGCACCTGGGAGATGCACGTCACGCCTGAAGTGGATTCCTCTTTTTTAGGGCAACTGCCCAAGGGTTAGGCGTGCCAAAGTGAGGCCAACCGTGGAGCTTCTGCTCCCAAGGAGTCCCCAGGGATGTAGCTCTGACCAATTGGCTGACACAAAACAAGGTGATGGAAGCAGGCCTGAACCATGGCATCTCAGATGCCAGCTTCCGGGACGAGTCACGGAGGAGGACTTCCCATCGGCTCCTGAAGGTCCCTTTGGGTGATGTGAGTGACAGTGGTGTGAGGATTCAGGCATGGGGAATGAAGAGCACACACAAGGCCCCAGAGGAGCCCAGCCCAATAGACAAATCAAGGTGAGATGGTCAGGCCCAGACCCACCCTTTTTCCCTCCTCATCCCGGCTCCTACCCACCCGTGGCCCCCACTGTTTTGCATGTTGCATGAGGTCCCTTCAGCTCCTGCTTTCCCTGTCACTGGGGAGGGCCCCCGCCATGACCTCAGAAGTTGCTTCTCCGCAGCCTGTCCCCCATCCCATCTGGTCCCCGGTCTTCATCCCCTAGGTTGGTCCACACCTCCACACAACCCATCCTCCCCGGACCTTTGGCCTGTGTCCTTTCCAGCCTCCCATCCTTCCGCCGCTCCTCCTAGCCCCTCGGGGCTCCCTCACCTGCCCTTTCCCCCGGGCCCTCCACACAATTTTCTCCCTTCCCTTCCATCTCCCAGTCAGCTGGCTTTTGTGGCAGCCTCCTCCTTGCCCAGCCCTGGGCAGGGAGAGGCAGATGGGCACGGGCAAGCTTTAGAAGACAAAGGTCTGGCTCTCAAAGTGCTTTCAGTTATAACCGTGAAACAATTAGACAGCCATGATGAGACCCAGGGTGGGGACTCAAAGGGGCGGGAGGGGTGGGCAGCCAGGCTGCTCCCTGGGCCACAGACAACTCTTGTTCCCTTCAGGTTTCACCTTCCTGGGGGTATTAGAACATCCTTACCCCTGCCTTTCTCTGCAAAACCTCACCTCTGCCGCAGTTCCTGCCTCCAGCAACCGAAGGCATCCTTGCCCATCTCGATCTGTCCTGATTCCCTCTGGGACAGTCACCTTGGCTAGCTCTCCTACACACACACCTTTCTTGGGTGCCCCCGCCCAGGGATCATCCACAGAGCTTTATTACCTCCTGTTTAACCAGGCTGGCCGGGCTCATGTTGAGCTGCAGAGGCAGGTCTGAGCAGGGGCTAAGGATGGGCACAGGCGGGACCTTCTCTGGACGGATGGATGGATGCCACTGCCCTCTGCACAGAGGCACCTGCAGAGCTCAGAAGTGGGCCAGCTCCCACCAGGGCCCAGTGCAGGCTCACTGGGAACAAGGTCAAGGGGTCACAGGGCCTGGTTCACGGGCCCAGCCGCTCCGCGGCATGTGGGATCTTCCCAGACCGGGGCACGAACCCGTG